TACTCCCTCCTCATCGTTCCTCCTCCTCCTCCTCCTCCTCCTCCTCCTCCTCCTCCTCCCGATCCTCCTCCTCCTCCTCCTCCTCCTCCTCCTCCTCCTCCTCCTCCTAGCCGCCGTTTTGGCTGAGACATGTGTGGGCGGCAGGCGCCCTGTGTATGTGGCACTCACATCACCTTTTACACATAAGCCGACCGACGGGCACAGGCCAGCGCACCTTCTGGCGACGCCGCCATGGAAGTTGCTTCTCCCTGCTCTCGGTAATTTTTTGGAGCATGTGGCGAGGTCCAGCACATTTGGATGGACCAAAGTGGCGATTTGTTCAATTCAATCCGTTGGCTGCAAGCAGTAATTCGCGACTGGAGGATATTGCTTCCACGTTCAGGGCTGTTGACGCAGTGGGGCTGATCGGCACGCAGCTGCGCATGAGGGACCTGGTGGTGCAGCGGAGGATCATCTCGGGCCGTATCCTGGTGGAGAGGGGCTGGGAAAGGCGGCCTTTCTCGAATAAGTCTTGTGGCGTGAGTCTACTGTTGCACAAGCGGTTCAAGGACCAGCACGTGAGGGCCATCAGATCAGGCCCTGAGGCGTTGGCGGGCAGGTGTCTGGCCGTGCGGGTGCAGACGGCGCAGGAGGACATCACCTTCTTGTTGGCCTATTTCCCGCCACGTACGTCGGAGATAGCCAAGCAGTCTGTGTATCGCAGTACGGTGGAGCGACTTCTGCAATGGATTCAAACTGAGCTGTCGGCGTGTCCTTCGAGATCTGTTCCTGTTCTGATGCTGGACCTCAATGATGGCATGGGCAGAACGTCTGACAACTCTCTCATCATGGATGATTGCACAGTTGCTGGGGCGGGGGCCTCGGAGGAGCATTATGCGGGTGCGGCTGTGCGTAATCTTCTGAAGGACCATTTCTTGGAGGCCACCTCCGCCCGCTCCAGCATAGACACCTACTATGGGCCGACTTCTTCTTCGCATGTGGACTTCGTGTGTCTTCCTGTTAGCTTGGGTGACGCGGTGATATGTACAGGTGCTCTTCTTAGGTGTGGGCGTGAGCTACAGCTTATCAATACAGCTCAGCGGCGTGATCACGTACCAGTGCTCGTTGAGGTCAGGCGCCCCTCGAAGCTCCAACCACTGTGCGTTGAAAGCGGCACTCCGCCCAGGGTTGGATCCAAGAAACTGAGTATGGATGCTATGATGGCTGCGCTTCGAGGGGGGCCTTTGCAGAGAGACTTCCTTGATGCGATTGAGTTTCGACTAGGTGAAGATCAGAATCATTGGGAGAATCTTGCGGGCCAGGCCGAACCTGATTCACTCTTTTTGTACCTGGAGAGGGTCTTGGTTGAGGAGGGGGAGAAGTTTTTCGTCTCTGATTCGGCAGCTGTTCCTGGGAAGTATGAGCTGGAGAAGGTTCGGGGGAAGCTCTTGATGAAGAGGAAGGACATGAGGATGGGGCACCAGGAGTGCACGGAGGAGGAGGAGGCGACCCTGGTGGGGCAACTTAAAGAGGTCACTAGAGAGCTCCATAGGCTGCAGCAGAAGGCTCGGGAACTTCGGAGGGAGGAACATCTTGAGGCTCTACACGAGGCGTGGACAGTTCGGGACTTGCATAAGGTGATGAAATCGGCGAGACTTGCGGCGGGTACTCGGATAGGACCCAAGAAGCGACATTTTCTTGAAGTGCGCACTTCTCTTCCTGACCGACGGGAACAATTAGATTTTTGGTCCGCGAAGGGGCCAGAGGGCGGCATGGCAGCTAAGGAGGTCACGCCCGTTTTCGGGCCTCCTGTCTTGGCGCCAGAATTTCGCACGACCCTAGATGTCCTGGACAGGGAAGCCGCCGCAGAGGATGTCTGCCGAGTTTCTCGCTATCTGAGGCGGCGGCAGAAGCGACGCTGTCCTCCACCTTGGTCGGCACCGATTGAGTTGTGGGATATGGCTCTTTCACCTGGGGCGGGGATTAAGGCACAGCAGAGGACTGCGGGAGTGGGAGCACCTTCGATTGCAAGACCGACCTTTTTTTTCACTCGAGCGGTGTTTCTAGGGTGCTGGCGTATTCGTTCGAGTGGACGAACGCCGGCCTTCTGGCACTGTAGTAAGACGACAGGTTTGAAGAAATCGGAAGTCGAGGGGCCGAAGGGTAAACGTTGGATTCATCTGTTACCTACGTTTGGGAAGGCTTGGTATGGCAGTATGATGAGACGGGAAAGGATGGGGGATGATGTGCATGGGCACGAGAGGGGAAGATTCAAGGAGACACCGATGCTCGTGGCAAGTATTGTGGCCTGGAGGGCCGCGCAGCAGGGGCTCTCGGTAGCCCAGCAGTTTTTCGATGCCACCAATGCGTTCGGCAGCATAGCTCAGCATCGACTGCGTGAGGCGCGTGCTGCCATGTACGATGCTGACATACATACGCAGGCCAGGCAACGAGTGGACTGTGCAACGATTGCTGTCGCATGCTCTGATGGGGGACTTCTCCTGGGACCAGAGTGCGGGGGACTGATGGGGGGCCCTTTCATGGTGGCCGCATGGACGAGAGCATACCAGCCATCGATTGCGCAATGGAAATCTTCTCTGGTCGACGAAGGTGTTGACACGGGACAGCTTACCGCGACCAGTCCGATTTTTTCGGGGCCTGTGGATTTGGCAGTGTGTCAGTATGCTGATGATCTTTTAAGATTGCATGTGGCTCTGTCTTCCGATCCATTGGCGGAGCTGGTGGATAAGGCCAGGAGAACTTCGGCTGCACTTACAGTGGCGTTTTCCGAAGATGGCTGCGCACAGAACGTTTCTAAGCAAGTTTATTTGCTGCATCTTGTGGGGGAAGGCTCTCATAAAGGGTATTCGGAGGTAAAAAACAAGCGCATTGTCTTTCCTGGGAAAGTGGTTCAGCAAGCTAGATACCTGGGGGCGCAGTTTGTGGGGGACTCCAGGTTGTCTCGAGCGTGTGGGGCGGAACTTAAAGCACGGAGAGCAGCTACTATTCGAGCCTTCTACTCCCTTGGGCAGCTCTGGTTTCTTCTTAAGGTACCTTATCGGCTGAGGCGTATGTTACTATTGTCTCATGTGGTGTCCACAGCTACGCACTGCCTGGAGGTTTTTTTCCCGTCGAAGGTGCAGCTGCGTTCTCTGCAGGCTTTGGTTGATGGGTTCGCAAGAAAGGCTATGAGGGGAAGGGCGCACAAGGAGGAGGAGGGGAAGCACATGTCTCTGTCGAACGAGGAGGTACGCAAGTTTTGGCGACTCCCATCCTTGGAAGTGGAGCTCCTTGTAAGGCGACTACGTAGGCTGCAAGCTATTGCTAGGAAACCCTTCATGCACGCCCAGTGGCTCACGGCCCATTTCGGAAAGTTCCCTTGGGAGTCGGAGCGTACCATGGATCAGCAGGGGCGGCTCCTGGAGGGGGCCAATCCGTGGGCGAAACGAGTTCTGGAGGACCTGGAGGCCATGGAACCCTTGGAGGACGCTCAGAGATTTCTAGAGGTGCTTCGTGAAAAGTACGGCAACGGAGTAGGGTGGATTTTTCTGGATCCTGAGCTTCAGGAAGATTTTACCAAGGTGGATGTTTCGCTGCTGAGGAGCCTGGATGTACAGAAACCAGCATGCAGAAAAAACACGCTGAATGGGACGGGACCTGAGGACGGGGATGTGCGTTGGAGATGCTTCATGAAGACGGAACAGGGGCAGGGCTGTGAAGCGTCCTTTTCTAAGTATCGACAGTTGTGCACGCGCATTCAGACACATCACAGACGTAAGGATATTTATACTGAGATTGTGGTTACGAACCAATGTCCCTATTGTCGTGAGGTCTTTGGAGATAGGAGTACTGCGTACCGTCATGTGATTTCTAGATTGGCACGGCCTGGAGCGGGTTCTCGCACGCGCTTTCTGGGACAAGTCGTGGAGCCGACGTCATTGCAATGCTCTCTATGTCCGTTTGTTGCTCAAGATCTTTCTCGATTGCATGATCATCTGATTACGCGCGTTCCACCTCATACTCATGGAACTTTCAGAGCCAGCGTGGGCGCTGAAGCGCACGGGAGAGCCGGCCGCAGGCGATCAGCGCCGCCGGCGTCTGATCGAGGAGTCGGTCGGGGGAGGCGGCCGCCAGCAGCAACTCGAGCGCTTAGTGAAGGTGCTGGCGGCCCTGGCGCTGACGCAGGCGGCCGAGTTGAGGGATCTCATCGCCGCCGTCTATCACACTTTTTTGGTGCCAAGCGGTTCGGTCATCGCCAAAGCCATGGCGGCCGCAGGAGTCGACTACCACAAGACCGTCAAGGCCACCAAGGGCACGGACCAGAGCACGCTGCTCGGACCGCCGTTTCTGCACGTGTTCAAGGCCATGGTACAGGCAGCTTATGGAGTAGAGGCCATAGGAGAGCAGCATCGGGCGGTGATCAAGAAGTTCTGGGACGACGTAATCATGAAACAATCCTTGGAGTCGGTAGCAGAGATGATTCGTCACTGCCGTTGCCGTTCCACGAAGAAGAAGGAGGGCAGCACCGAGTTCGTGAGGGTGACGGTGTGCTTCTCGGTGCAGTGGGCGGAGCTCGAGACGGCCGTGCTGTGCGCGCTCATGAAGACAGGGGCAGTGCGCAAGGTGGGCCCGCCGCCGCGCGGCCCGCTGGAGCGGGAGGCCGCCAAGCTTCTCGAGGAACTGCAGTAGGAGCGGGTGCTAGCAGGAGCGAGGATCGCGATTTTTCGTCGTCTGATCTGGATGCTGAAGTTTTGAGGCTGGCTAGGAGGCTTGAAATTTTTTCGGTAAGAATGGCTGAGCTTCTGAGATCTGGCCGATTAGATCCAGGATTGGCGCTCTCTTTCTTGAGGGATCGGGAGGGGTCGTCGGTCGTGTCGCGGGAGAGCGGGGGGGAGCGGAAGAAACCTCGGAAGTAGGTGCGTGCTATCTGGCCCGAGAGTGGGCCTTCCACGGACCTCGGCGCCAGCAGGCCCGATCCCGAATCACGGGACTGTGGCCTGCGCGTGCGCTGTGACGGCTCTCAGTGAGCTACATCGGCAGAGAATTGTGTTGTTCCGTGTCTCTCTTTACAGTCAGAGGGGATGGTGACCCATTGCTGCCAATGATGTCGTATCGTATCGTATCGTATCCTCCTCCTCCTCCTCCTCCTCCTCCTCCTCCTCCTCCTCCTCCCGCTTCCTCCTCCTCCTCCTCCCGCTTCCTCCTCCTGCTCGACCGTTTCCCCATGCTCGCCCACCTCGCCCTCCTCCTCCTCATCATCAGCATCATCAGCATCATCAACATCATCAGCAGCAGCAGCAGCAGCAGTATCGGCATCAGCATCATCATGATCATCATCATCATTATCATCAGCATCATCATCACCATCATCATCATCATAATCAACATCATCATCATCATCATCATCATCACCATGAGCAGCAGCAGCAGCAGCATCATCAGAATCCACATCATCATCCTCATCATCATCTGCATCGACATCATCATCATCATCATCATCATTATCATCGGCATCAACATCAGCATCATCATCATTATCAGCAGCATCATCAGCAGCATCATCAGCAGCAGCATCAGCATCGATATCATCATCAGCAGCAGCATAATCATCATCGGCATCAGCATCAGCATCATCATCATCATCAGCAGCAGCAGCAGCATCACGCGCACGGCAAACAGAAGCAGGCGACGGCTTCACAGAAGCCAGGTGTTGATAGCCTTTTGCTGTGTATCTGCAGACAGCTGAGTGACGTTTTGCCTTGGCCGCTAGCACTGGTGCCTGCCAATGCAGCTGGCGGTGTTTCGCTGCGTCAGCCGCCGGGCGGCTTGGGCAGCCCACCATGACGCGAAGTACATTTGCGGACCCTACCGTGTGCTGTGACGGCGATGGTGCGGTTGTAGTTGCTGCTCGGCCGTTCACTGCCAAGGGCGAAAAAGAGCGAGAAAGGGCAAGGGCAAAAACCGTTGGCAAAGGGCGCTGCTTCGCCGAGAGCCTCCTACGGCCCAAGATGCAGGCTAGGAAAGCCGACCCGGAGAGCGAGCTGAATACTAGGCATCCTGACATGAGTTCACAAGAGCACCTCTTCCTTGGGGGCAACATGCGCGCTACAGGCACAGACATCTAACTTCGAGAGGTGAAGGCGCACAGTTGTGTCCTATGATTTGCACCGCGTTGCCGAAGATGTTCTCGGCGGGGGCCGAGCGGCCACGCGGAGCCCCCCAGCACGCACTGCAGAGGGGGCATGGGGAAAGGGCGTCGCGCCCTTGTTATTGCCGGTGTCTCCGCGACCCCGCCTTAACGATTCACGTGGTCATCTTGCTCAAACATACGACCGTCCCAAAGTGTTGCCTTTTGATGTGGCATTTTGACTATGTGATTTTTTCGCTTTGGCATCAAGGTCACAGCTCGGTGCCAGGCACGGTCTGGTGCGCGTTACGGTGGCGCTTGGCAGCGACTACATGTGTATCATTCCCACCTGTTTAGAGGCAGCTCTGCAGTACTCGCACTGCTCTTCTAACTGGGGCTGCGCCCACACTGTGCACCAATGCTCTTGCGATTGTGCGGCGATCGCGTTCAGAGGAGCTTGGCCCTTCAAAATCCTGATTCCTCACGATGGTTCCGGTGAGCTGCAGCCAGCCCGACCCACACGACAGAAGCGGGCAACCGTGCCCGACTTCTCGGGAGGACGAGCATGAGGAAGGGGATGTCAGTCAGTCCGTCAGTCAAGCTTGGCACCTACACAGCGCATTGTCAAATAAAAGGAATGCGTAAAAAGTTGGCAGGGGGAGGGACAGGAGCGGGAAGAAGGAACACGGAGGGAGGAGGGGATCTGGGGCAGCACCAGGAGGAAGAGGGAAGGAGGCAGGCGGAAAGGAGGCCCCATCCACCCAGTGCTGTCCCCTCCCTCGCCTCTGATCGCAACCACGGGGGGGCCAGACTACCCATTCGAGCTGGCGGCGACGCTACTTGTCATGGGCACGTGCGTGATGCCGTGATTCTCTTGCTGCGGGGTCCCTGGAAGCCCCGACCCCTTCCCCAGCAGGGCCGCTGCTTCGCTCCGAGCCGTGCTTCGACGGTCCAGGGGCTCGGCGCGGGCCCCCAGAGGCCGCAGTCTGCCAAGTCCCCCCGCCCCGCCGTGATCTCTCACAGCCCGCGCCCTGCTTGGCATCGCTCGGGCGTGTGCATTTTTTCTCGGCGAGAGCCATCGAGGACCATCCTGGACCAGCGGGCAAAGAAAAAAAAACACGCACGAGACCGAAAAAGTCACGGGAAAGATGGACGTCCGAGCGACGGCAAGCCTGCCCCCGATCCTTCCCGGGGCATGCGGGGTCCCTGGAAGCCCCGACCCTTTCCCCAGCAGGGCCGTTGCTTCGCTCCGAGCCGTGCTTCGACGGTCCAGGGGCTCGGCGCGGGCCCCCAGAGGCCGCAGTCTGCCAAGTCCCCCCGCCCCCGCCGTGATCTCTCACAGCCCGCGCCCTGCTTGGCATCGCTCGGACGTGTGCATTTCTTCTCGGCGAGGACCATCGAGGCCCATCCTGGACCATCGAGCAAAAACAAAAAAAAAAAAAAAAACACGCACGAAACCGGAAAAGGCACGGGAAGGGGACGTCCGAGCAACGGCAGGCCTGCCCGGGGCATGCCAGGAGGGGGAGGAGGAGGAGGAGGAGGAGGAGGAGGGGGAGGAGGAGGAGGAGGAGGAGGAGGAGGAGGAGGAGGAGGAGGAGGAGGAGGAGGAGGAGGAGGAGGAGGAGAGGAGGAGGAGGAGGGAGGAGGAGGAGGAGGAGGAGGGGAGGGGAGGAGGAGGAGGAGGAGGAGGAGGAGAGGAGGAGGAGGAGGAGGAGGAGCAGGAGAAGGAGGAGGAGGTGGAGGAGGAGGAGGAGGAAGAAGAAGAAGAAGCAGAAGAAGCAGCAGAAGAAGAAGAAGAAGAGAAGGAGGAGGAGAAGGAGGAGGAGGAGGAGGAGGAGGAGGAGGCCCGCGGCCCCCGCGCAGGCGACCGCCAGCACCCCCGGCTCGGCCAGCGCCTCGAAGAGCTCCACGGCCTCCGATGCCGAGCGGCGCCGGCGGGCGGCCCAGCGGCCACGGCCGCGGGGGGCGCGTCGGCGGGCGCCGTCCGCCCACAGGGCCCCCTCGGGTCATGTGAAGGTCTTGGCGTCGCTCGGGCATGTTATTTTCGGGGGCGGCAAAGAGGGAAGTGATGACTAGGGGGGGGGATTTCATGGCGGGGGCCATGATAGTTCCCCAGACTTCATGGCGCCTCTTCTTATTTCATTACGTCCCTGGTCCCCCCGCTGGGCCGCGCACATGCCGCCGGTCATGATTTGCAACACCCCCTCTTGGACACCCCCCTCTTGGCCGCTCCTGAAGGAAAAACAAGACATGGAAAAGCTCACGGAACCGAGCCATGCACGGGGAATGGGCGTCCGAGCGACAGCAAGGGATCATGATCGGAGGCTCTTCGCTACTTGCAGCCTCCAGGGGCCTCTTTGCCGGGCCTCGGGACCGTCAGAAAACGACTCGGGATTAGAAGCCGGTCTTTTGGGAGTGGGTCGAGACCCTCGACCTTCCAGAGCAGCACTCCAGACCTGCAGACCTGTCTGGACTGCTGAACCTCGAGTGAAATTTAGATGTCGAGGTCCTGGTGCACCCTCCTATCTGGACGCCCGAAATGTGTACGGAAAGAATGGGTACAATGCCCCGCAGCAGTTCCTGTTCATTTTGAACAGGACTCGCTGTCCACGCCGCCGCGGCCTGTGCCCATTCGAGACAGAAGGCCGCCTGCCCAACAGCGGCCGCTGTTGGTTTGGGACAACATTTGTTGTTGGGCATTGTACCCATTTTTCCCCTACCCATTTCGGGCGTCCAAATCCCTGGGGCAGCTTGTGGCAGATAGGGGGTGATTCGTGGACGGTTGGTGCGGGGCGTGTGCCCCTCTTTGCCGCTTGCCAGCCGCCGCCATTCGCCGCTGCTTGCAGCGAATTCGCCAGCCTGTTGACCAAGATAAGGCTCCCATAAAATCGAACGCAGCCTGGGTTCGCCAGATCCTAGGAGGAGGAGGAGGAGGAGGAGGAGGAGGAGGAGGAGGAGGGGAGGGGAGGAGGAGGAGGAGGAGGAGAGGAGGAGGAGGAGGGAGGAGGTCGAAGAGGAGGAGGAGGAGGTCGAAGAGGAGGAGGAGGAGGAGGAGGAGGAGGAGGAGGAGGAGAAGGGGGAGCAGGAGGAGGAGGAGGAGGAGGGTGCACAAGGTCGCGGCGCCGTGGGTCTGGGGCCCGAGGTCGCGGGCGGCGGCCGCCGCCGCTCGGCCCGCCGCCGTCGGGAGCCCATGTTCGCACCAGCCTGCAAGAGGCTCAGGAGGGGAAAAAACACGCACAGACACAATGAATCGTCGATTGGGGGAGACAAAAACCCTCAAAAATGTAGGAACATATGGGACATAGTTTTACTTGTGTGTACTTGTTTGTGCGTCCTGGGGCCCCTTCACATTCGCACCAGCCTGCAAGAGATCCCTGCCGCTGCGATCGGCATTGCCTTCTCTCGGTGCCGGTGTGTGTGTGTGTGTGAGTGTGTGTGTGTGTGTGCGTGTGTGTGTGTGCGTCTGTGTGTGCGTGTGTGTGCGTGTGTGCGTGTGTGTGTGTGTGTGTGTTTATGTGCGTGTGTGTGTGTGTGTGTGTGTGTGTGTGTGTGTCCCAGGGCCCCTTCAAAGAGATCCCTGCCGCTACGATTGGCATTGCCTTCTCGCGGTGCCGGTGTTGCGGATTCCTTCGGTCGCGGAGGGCACCGACGGCACCACCTCGATGGAGCTTATTCGATCGATTGCACTGCCGATATCACTGTCGATCTAACGATCGATGTCATTATCGATCTGGCTATCGATTTAACGATCGATCTCACGATCAACTTCACGATTAATCCCGCTGCTGATCTCACTATCGGTCTCACTATCGATCTCACTATCGATCTCACTATCGGTCCCACTACCAGTCTCACTATCGATCTCACTACCGAGCTCACGATCGATCCCACGCGATCGATCCCACTCGATCGATCTCGCTATCGATTTCACAACCGACCTCACGATCGGTCTCACGATCGACCTCGCTAGCCCTTTCATTATTGATCCCGCCATTGACCTCACTACCGATCCCACTATCGATCTCAATATCGGTCTACCGATCTCACTATCGATCTTGCCATCGATCGCACTATCGATCTCAGGATTCCACTATCGATATCACGATCGATCTCACTACTGGACACCAACGGGACACCAACAGAACATTCGCGGGACACCCGCGGGAAACCCCCTTCCATCGCCGGACAACCCAGGTGGGGTAATTTTTGGCCCGGCGGCGCCCTAGCCAGAGGAAGGTTCATTCCTCTCGCCCGCCCACGCAGCTTCGCGTGAGCTCTCCGTTTCATTGCGATCCCCTTGACGTCCGATTCATCGATTTGTATACATCTATACAAATACATGTACCGATGCATGTGTAGATATAGATACGCATACATATATGAATATACATATGTGTGTGTATATATGTATCGGAGGTCGAGGGGTGAGATCGCAGTGGAACGGAGACCCCCAACAAGGATATCGTTTCGTTTCGTTCGTGTCGCGCGTGCGGGCGAGGCGAAGCTGCGTGGGCGCGCGAGAGGAATGAACCCGCCGTTGCTGAGGAGAAGTCACGACAAATTATTCTCCCCCGTCCGTCCGTCCGTCCGTCCGGCGGTGGACCTGGCGGTGTCCCGCGGCGTCCCGTGGTGTCCCGTGGTGTCCGGCGTTGCTAGGGCGAAGCCAAGATAAATGATTCTCCCCCGTCCGTCCGTCCGTCCGGCGGTGGCCCTAGCGGTGCCCTTCGGTGTCCCGTGGTGTCCCGTGGTGTCCGCCGTTGCTCGGGCGAAGTCAAGACAAATGATTATCCCCCGCCCGCCCGTCCGTCCGTCCGTCTGGCGGTGGCTCGCGGTGTCCCGCGGTGTCCCGTGGTGTCCCGTGGTGTCCCGTTGAGTAAGATCGATAGTGAGATCGATACTAAGATCGATACTGAGATCCATACTGAGATCGATGTGGTGCCCCGAGTCCCGTGGGGTCCCGTTGAGTGAGATCGATAGTGAGATCGATAGGGAGATCGACAGGTGTCCCTTGGTGTCCCGTGGTGTCCCAAATAGTGAGATCGATAGTGACGTCGATTGAGATCGATAGTGAGATCGATGTGGTGCCCCGAGGTGTCCCGTGGTGTCCCAAATAGTGAGATCGATAGTGAGATCGACAGGTGTCCCGTGGTGTCCCGTTGAGTGAGATCAATGGTGAGATCGATAGTGAGATCGGTGTGGTGTCCCGAGGTGTCCCGTGGTGTCTTATGGTGTCCCGTTGAGTGAGATCGATAGTGAGATCGATAATGAGACCGATAGTGAGATCGAGAGGTGTCCCGCGGTGTCCCGTGGTGTCCCGTGGTGGCCCGTGGTGTCCCGTGGTGTCCCGTTGAGTGAGATCAATCGTGAGATCGACAAGTGTCCCGTGGTGTCCCGTGGTGTCCCGTTGAGCGAGATCGATAGTGAGATCGATTGAGTCAGATGTTGGTTCCCCCCCTCTCCCCCGCACACAACCTCCTATCACCCGAAGGGTGGTCGTATAGGTATAGATGTATGTTTGAACACAGGTTTTGGGGGGAGGAACCAACCTCTCATCCAATCGATCCTATCATCGATCACATGATCGATCTCACTAGCGATCCTACTATCTATCTCACTATCGATCTCACTACGGGACACCGACGGCGGGACGCCGACGGGACATCGCAATCGCTCCCATCACCGATCTCACTCGATCGACTTCACGTTCGATCTCACAATCGATCTCAATGTCGATTTCATTATCGATGTCGCTATCGATCTCACTACCGGAGACCGACGGGACACGGACGTCGGGACTCACTACGGGACACCGACGGGACACCGACAAGAATTGATGGGACACCGCCGGCCCCCCGCGGGAAACCCCCCTCCATCGCCGGACAACCCGGGGCGGGGCGGTTTTTTGGCTTGGCGGCGCCTTAGCCAGATGAGGGTTCATTCCGTTCGCCCACCCCCACACACAGCTTCGCTTCGCCCGCACGCACGACACGATTACGAAATCGAAACCAATGTCCCGGTGGTGGGAACTCCGTTTCACTGCGATCTCATCCCCTCACTTCCGATGTATTCACGATTTGTCCGTAGCATTCCAGAGTAGACGTTCTTGATTTTGTTCGGTGCGTGTGTGTGTGTGTGTCTCATACAGCCCTCACGGCGTTTTGCCATGGTACGCCGTTGCACACTTCGTATAATTTGACGCGGTCGTTAACTCAGTTTGCTCGAAACGGTCCAGTGCGTGTTTCTAGGTCCTCCGTATCGTTCCACTCGGCGCCCTGTGGCATTGCCTTGAGCTGCACCGCAGCACCTGCGGCAATCTACGTTGTACCTTCTGCAGTTCGCTCCCAGGCGCCCAGCCCAGACCCGCTTGCTCTCCACGTTCAGCTACACGGTTTGCCCCGCCAGCACGCCGTTCTTCCATGGTCGATCACCCGCGGGCTACTGTCGGATCGGCCACGCCTGGAGGAACTGCGGTCGTAGTGCCCCCAGAGAGCCCATCGACTCCAACCCCCCTCTCTCGTATGGAGGAAGGAGAGGGAGGGGGAGAAGGAGGAGGCAGAGAGGGATGAGGAGGAGGAGGAGGAGGAGGAGGAGGAGGAGGAGGAGGAGGAGGAGGAGGAGGAGAGATCGCCGACACGTTGGGCTCTCTCTCTCAGGGTGATGGGGAACACGTCTCCCGGGCTGCGTCGAGGATGCGGGGACACGGATCAGGGCTCGTGGATCAGCGGTGGCCTTGCTTCCGTACGGCATCGGCGCGTCGTCGCCAAATGAGGTGACATTGGACTCGTGTTTCGGGGGGTGCGTTCCTTCCTCTGTAGATCTAGCATTAAGTCGGGCCTGTCCCTCTACAGGGGGAATATTCAAACATAGTCAAAAAATAGTCTTGGGACTATTGTTTGATAATTTCTTGACCATTTTGGAGTCTTGTTTGAGTATTTTTCATTTTTGCGTCGAAGATCCCCCTGTAGGGGGACCCGCCCGACTTAAATCGAGCACCAACGCGCCAGATCCACGGATTCCCAACGCGTGCCGGCGTGCGCCCAAAAATGTGGCCGGTCGGGTTGCCTCGGCGCCCTCGCCTCGCGCGGAGTAAGGAAGACGCTGCCGCACATGCAGCGGCGGCTGTGGAACATGGCGCAGACGGACCCGCACCTCCGGGCCAGAATGGCCAGGAGCGCCTGGTCTGCGCCATGAGCATATCAGAGCGCCCTTCGTCTCTGCGCATCGAGCAGCTCGCTGCCGCGGCCCTCCTCTGCGAGGGGGAGGCGGGGGAGGGGGGAGGGGCATGCCTCGGCGCAAGGGGGAGATGGGGATAGGCAAGCTATGTGCGGTCGCGCCACATCTGACATCGTACCACACCAACCCATCCCTTCCCATTGCGTTGATTTCTTCTCTTGCCGCGGACGCATGCCATAGCGGACCCGGAATTTCAGAAGGGGCACCATCGTGTTTTGCGCAATCGGAGAAGGAGAGCTCCGTGCATTGGAGGAGGAGGTGGCGAATGAGCAGGAGGAGGAGGAAGGAGGACGAGGACGAGGACGAACAGCAGCAGTAGGTGCTGGGGTTGAAGGAAAATGAAGGCCCCGAAGACCAGGAGGGGCGGAGGAGGGGAAAGGAGAGCGGGACAACGATGAGGAAAGATCCGGATCCAGAAAATAGTGTCCCGCGCTGTGGCGAGAGCGCCATTCTGAACGACGGGAGCAAAGTGCCGATCTTGAAATGATGCCGACGCTGCAGCGGCAGCACACTTTAGAGCCACCGGAAACGCTCCGACCTGACAATTATCCTGGCGAAGGACCCAACCATATGCAGTTGTGAGCACCGCAGTTGTGAGTATCTTCTTCGGTGGTGCCCACGAACCGTATGAGGGGCGTGCCGAAATGTGGTGGGGTACGCAACACGAAGGAAATCGATTGGTCTAATTACGAGAGACTGAGCGCGGGTGAATCTGAGCGCGAGCGAGTCTAAGCGTGAATGAATCTGCGTGCGAGCGAATATATGTGCACGAATGCGATCATGGTTACGCCTCGTGTAAATGTATATGAATGTGAATGGTTCGGGTATGCCTGTCTGTACACTCGTGACACTGAGCGTGGCCGCCGCGGAAAACTTCCGCGGGAACCCCGGCGGCAGCGCCCGCACGCCGCGACGCCCACGTCGGCACGCCCTTCACGAGGATCGCGCCCGCTTCCTTCCCTTCTTTTCCTCCCCATTTGCCCGCGCACTCCAAAGTCCAAAGCTGCGGGCGCAGCGCGGCGCGGAGTCCCCGCGACGCGCGCCGGTCGCCCCGGAAGGGTCCCAGCAACGCGCGCGGGCCGTCCGTTGCGCGGAGCAAAGAGAGCTAGCTAGCTGGCCGGCTGGCTGATAGCGGCCAAGGCTCTGACCGCTGGGCAGAGCGACGACGGGCGAGCGAGGCGCACGTCCCCGCGGATGCGGAGGACCCCCGGCGCGCCCACGGCCGCCAGCCCGCATGCCGCGGGGCGATCCGGAGCCGCCGCCGGACGAGGACGACGACGGCGACGACGACATCCACCAGGCCACTCCTCCACCGTTCGTTTACAGCGACCACAGCGAGAACACCGGAAAGACCCTCGCTGGTGGAATGGAATCTCCCGCGAATGCAAAGCAACATACATACGGGGGGGAACGGCCTCCTCCTCCTCCGCCTCTTCCTTCTCCCCAGAGGTTTGGAGCTGTTCCCTGAAACCTTGAGTGTGGCGGACGCATGGTGGCGGTGGCATTGGCGCCTTCGGTGGAGCCCCTTGTGGGGCCAGGACATGCGCGAGAGGTGTGCCGACATTCGCGTGGGGGACGCATGCGGGCGGTGGCACTGGGGCCTTGGGCGGAGCTCCCTATGGGGCCACGAAGCGTGTGAGGGGTGTGCCGACATGTGTGTGGGGGACACACGCGGGCGGTGGCATTGGGGCCTTCGGTGGAGCTCCTTATGGGGCAACGAAACGTGTGAGGGGTGTGCCGAAATGGGTGATGATGTTGGCGATGATGACGGTCGTGCTGATGATGATGATGATGATGATGCTGATGATGATGATGATGATGATGATGATGATGATGAAAATGATGATGATGATGATGATGATGATGATGATGATGATGGTGGTGATGGTGATGGTGATGGTGATGGTGATGGTGATGATGATCATGATGATGATGGTGACGCTGATGATGGTGATGGTGATGATGATGACGATGATGATGATGACGGGAGGAGAGAGGAAGGGGGAGGAGGAGGAGGAGGAAGAGGAAAGGAGGAGGAGAGGAAGGGGGACGCGGGGCGACGTCTCTTCAAAACGAGGACCCAACACCACAGGATGGCTGGGAAAAACCATGCGAGATATGGGCGATTCCCCGGCCATCTTCGGGGGTGAGAGAAAACTAGTATTCAGATTGGGTTTGTGTGGTGGAGCGGGTGGGTGGGCTTGGGGGGCCGAGAGGGGTAGTGGTAGGGGAGGGTGGAGAGCAGAGGGGATGGGAGAGGGAGGGGTGTGGGCCCTGTCATCCTAGCCCAAATAGGGAAATGCATGTGGGGGCTGCCACACCGAACACCGAGGCACGGATGAATCTACGAGTGACCAGGGCCAATCCCATACAGATTGCGCGCAGGAGCTCTTGAACAAAAGTACTGCTTGGGTGCTATCGCGATCGGGGAATGTGGCTTAGCGTGTCGCGCCGCCAGTTTGGTCCCACTACGCGCCGACGCGACACACTATCCGCGTCTTGGTCCCCATGCGTCGACGTCCTGAGCCATTGAGAGCCGCTCGCCCCGCGGAGGGGGGCGACACGCGATCCGAGCCCGATGCCGAGCGTGTCACCGGGACCGCTGCCGCGACACGCTCCGCAGAAGTTCCTTACGGCATGCTGCTGGTTCTGCGAGAGGCAGGTCCAGACATGGTGGCAGCGGCCACGGCGCCCAGCAATCCACGCCACCCTAAGCCTGGGACAGGAGGGGCGTACGGCAGACGAGGGTGGGAGCGAACGGAGGTGTACGGAGTGCGAGGAGGGGTGAGGAAGAGGAGTTCCTCGGACCACGAAGTCGCCACAGGTGTGGGAGGCACTTCATTGTCTTGGAATCGGGCAGCTCGTCCTTTCCAGCACAACGTTGGCACATGTTCGTTTCGTTTTCGCCGATGCGCAGCGAAGCTATGGTTTGTCCTGGTGGCTCACTCTAAACTTGATTATGGTTGTGTGTTTTTTCCGCCTACCGCAAACAACTGCCCTGAACGAGTGAATGGTTTCCTGCCTCGCGTCTTCGACGAATGACGGCTGCATGTCGCGGCCCGCATGCTCGAGTGTTGCTGGAAGTGCCCCTGGCCCACGGTGCCCCCCAGGATTCCCAAGGAAGCCCCCACGGCCTTCAGAGCACCCCTTGCGGGGCCCATGCGGCCCCAGGGCCTGCAAACTGGAGCGGAAAGCAACAGGGGGCACTTTTGGCCAGGGGCATGTCTAGCAACACCCGAATTCTCGGGTGGGAATCGCTCGAAGCAATATAATAATGTTGTGTTTTCAGGTGGTCGCAAAGCTGGCGGTTCGTCGGCCGCACGAAATCGCAGAAAGTCGATCCGCCACAGGAGAGGTCGCTCAGGCACCGCTGGCGCCAAGGGGGGCAAGGTGGCGGGTATGTGCGCACGTGCGTTTGTGATTGCATGTGCATGTTTAGAGGGTGAGCGTTTTGAGGGCAGTCTGATTGGACTCGCGCCTTCTTCACTGCGCTGACTTGTTCTAGTGCTGCTCGCTTCCGCTGTTCCTTCTTTGTGATGCGATTGTGCACATGCACGTATATGAATGGGTTGTCTCGGAAGTCACCTTCATCCAGTGAGTGTTCTCACACTTGCCCGCCTCGCCTCTCACTGATCTGCCAGCTTGACGATAGCATCGAAACAGTCGCTCTCAGCATGGGAATGTCTGGCGACCGCCCTGCTCAAAAAAACGATGATGGTCCTCAGATGTCGCGGGCCTAGCTGCACAGGAGACGGGGGGGAGGAGATGCCATCTTGTTTGGCTGTTCCAGGCGTTTACTCCTGGCTTAACTCATCTCGCCGTTCTCTTCCTCTGTCATATCTTCTCGCTGTCCCTTCAACTGCAGCCGTTTCGACAAGTTGCAGTTTCTCTGTGATGGTCTATATAAATACACATATGCTTGTACAGATTCATATTTGTGTCAACCGTCGTGGACCCCAATGAGCGTGTGTTCTAGCAATGTAGGTTGCGGAATACATGTGTAGCAATATATGTGGTGCCGCATGCGTGGGGCAATATATGTTGTGCTACATGTTGTGTGAAAGCTATGCTGTGCATTAGATGCTGTGCTATTTGTTGCGCGAAGCATGCGTAGGGTCATCAGTGTGGTGGTACATGTTATGTGCAGCAGGCGTTGTGCAATATATGATGTGCTGCCTGCTGCGTGCAGCATCTGTTGTTCAACCAATACATATCTATAATGTGCACTCTATGTTGTCGAATATTGATGGTGCTATATATATGATGTGCAATTGTGTTGTGCAGCCTACGTGATGCGCAATCCATGCGTAATGAGATAACCGCCGTCGGATCCCATGAGGTTCGCGCGGATCCAAGTGTGGCTGTGGTGCTTGTTTCGGTGGATCCGATATCTGTCCGCGCGGATCCGATTTCGGATTTGCTGGATCCGTGTCCCGTCTTATTTTTTACGGCGGATCCGATCTTTACCCCGTTTTAAATTTATATTATTAGATTAAAACGGGAAGCCGGAGAAAATCGGATCCGCGGACCCCGGAACCCGCCCGTGTTAAGATTATACGGGGGAAGGGGTTTCCGTCATTAATTTCCATTTCATCATCGCCATTTGCACCTCAAGAGGAGAATATTTCGTCCTGCGTAAGTACATCGTGTGCAGTATTTCTGTGCAGCTTATGATGTGTGATAGATGTTGTGCAAGTCATGTGGTGCAACCTTCTTGTGCAATATATTTGGATGTTCAGTTTATGGTAAACAAAATTTGGCGTGGTATATGGTTATATAATGTGATAACTGCTGTGTGCTGCGTATGTCATGCAATCTAGGTTGTATCACCAATGACGTGCAAAACTGTGGTGCAATATAGAATGTGCAATATATGTCGTTTAATTAATATGGCGAGCATTATGTGTTGTGTAATTCATGTTGTGCGAAATATCTGCGATGCAGCCGGCGTGACGCAAAACATGTAGTGTAACCTGTGTTGTGCAATGTATGTGGTGCAATATCTGTTGTGCGATCGATGCCGTACAATACATAGTGCACATTACTTGTAGTGCGATCTATGCTGCGCCATATAAGTTGTGCAATCTATGTGGTGCCATATTTGTGGTATATGTGGTTGTCCTGTCTCTGTGCTGCAATCTATGGTGCGCAATGTGTGTGGTGCAATATATGTTCTGAGCGATCTAGAAGCGCGTGGCAGGCGCGATTGTTTGTGCAATCTATGTGGTGCAATCCATTGTCGGCGACGGGTCGGCGACGTTGACAACATAGCCGCCAGACCAGCCGAACGGCCCAGACGACGGACGGCGACGAGGCGGCGACGGGGCGGCGACGGTGACATTATAGCCGCCAGACCAGCCACACGGCCTAGACGACGGGCGGCGACGAGACGGCGACGGGGCGGCGATGGCGACAACATAGCCGCCAGACGTGCCACACGGCCCAGTTCCTGCGAAGACAAGTAAGAGCCCCTAAGTCCAAGCACCTTTGGGGGTATGTGTATATGTATACACATATATAGATATGCACAGCGAGAGAGAGAGAGAGAGATCCCTGTCATCATGCTGCTTGACCAGAAACCTTGCGGTCCCCCCACACGCACACACACACACACACACACACCAGACGACCGAAGACAGCCCAAGGAAGACCCCCAAGATGCCTCCGAAACACCAAAAGCAGGGATCCCCAATCGCGATTGCATGATTATTTTCGCTTCGCGGGGTGCACATCTGGAGAACGTTTAAGGCTGGGCGTTGGGTGGTTTGCCCTGCTCGTCTGGCGCGCTCCTCTGCCGTGTCAATCTGCCCGCCCCGAGACGCTGCCAGCGCCGCAGGGGGTGGATGCGCCTCCCCCGTTTCAGCGCCAGGGCGAGCGTGCGAATGTCCACGAAGGCGATGAGCATTCGCCGCGTGTCAGCATAAGGCAACGCCAAGTTCAAATCCCGATGAGCATAGCAACAAGTGCGCCATTCAAAAACAATTCCGTGGGTCTTTGGGTGGGTTCCTGGGGCCGTTTGGGAGTTTCTTGCCGGCTTCCTCGGGTGCCTTTCGGCCGTCTTGGGTGCGACTCTGCGCCGCCTCTGAGAGGGCCGCCTTCGGGCCCTCCTGGGGCCCCCCTTTGGGGCCGTCCTCTGGGGCCGCCTTGGGGGCCCTCTTGGGAGGCCCTCTTGGGGCCGTCTTGGGGCCATCTTGGAGGCTGCCTGGGCCGTCGTGGGCCCCGGAGAGCCGAAGAAGGCGAGAACGCGAAAATCTGGCAAAAACAATCGGCAATCAGTGTGTCTGAACTCTTCGGGGCCCCCTTGGAGCCCTCTGGGGCCGTCTCGGGAGCCTCTGGGGCCCTCCGGGCGCTATCTTGGGCCGTCTTCGGACCGTCCTGGGCCGTCTGGAAGCCAGGTTAGGCTGGCTGGGAGTCCTTTCTGGACCCCCAAGAAGCCCCAGAGGTCGATATCATAGATTTCCATACGTGAAGGGGGGATACATAGTAGTGTACACGAGCGCGGTACTTAGCAATCATACAGTAAGAGGCTGCGTATAATACAATATGTAGCAACTATTCAATACTCGGATACCTTGGGTACGTTGCATTTAAGCCTCCGTGGATAACGCTGCCGCTTAACACGTCACCCCCAGCCGTTGATTTCTTTCGCTTCGTGGGGTGCACGTCTGGAGCACGTGCAGTCAGGTCGTTGTGGGGCCTCTTTGGTGCATCCTGGAGGCCTCTTGGGAGCCTATTTGGGCCATCGTGGAGGCCTCTTGGGGGCCTCTTGGGCCGTCCTGTGGCGCTCTTGCGCCGCCAGGCCCCTTTGGAGGCCGTCTATGGGGCCGGGCCTCTCGGGGCCGCCTTGGGGCTCTCTTGGGGTCCCCGAGGAGGAGGAAGAGAAGCAGGACGGGGAGGAGGAGGAGGAGGGGGGTGGAAGGAGGAGGAGGAGGAGGAGGAGGAGGAGGAAGAGGAGGAGGAGGAGGAGAGAGGAGGAGGAGAGAGGAGGTCGGAGGAGGGAGGACGTGAGAGGAAGAGGAGGAGGAGGAGGAGCAGGAGGAGGAGGAGCAGGAGGAGGAGGAGGAGGAGGAGGAGGAGTGTGCGAATGCACACGCGAACGGGATGTTGACGAACACGGAGACGAGCAGGACGACAAGGAGGAGGAGGAGGAGGAGCAGGAGGAGGAGGACAGCGACGAGGAGGAAGGGTAGGGCAACGACGACAATGGGCAGGAGCAGGAGCAGGGGCAGCAGCAGGAGGGGGAGGAGAAGGAAGAGGATCAGGTGGGGGGGAGGCAGCAGCAGCAGCAGCAGGCGGAGGAGGACGACGAAGACGATGCGTCGTAAGAGGAGGAGGAGGAGGAGGAGGAGGAGGAGGAGGAGGAGGAGGAGGACGACGACGACGACGACGACGACGATGCGTCGCACGAGGAGGAGAAGAAGGAGGAAGAGGAGGAGCAGGAGGAGGAGGAGGAGGAGGCGGAGGAGGAGGAGGAGGAAGAGTGGGAGGGCAGTGGGGAGGAGGCGGAGAGACGGGGTGGAGGAGGAGGAGGAGGACGAGGACGAGGAGGGGGGGCGGCTGGCCCTCGCTGGCATCCCAGCAGCCAGTCCGACTCGCCCTCCGCCGCTGGAGAGCCCGAGGCCGTGGTGGGAGAGGCTGCACAACGGGGGCAGCCGCGGCAGCAGCCTGGGCAGGACCGCCAGGGGATCGACGGGGAATGCATTTCTCCAGCTGATAATGGTTTCGCGACCTTAACTCAAGCAGGGAGCAAGCTGCACAGCTCCAGTATTTTTGGCAGCAGCAGCTCAGCATCGGCGAACCACTCCCCATCCCCACTCGTTCGGCTTACTTCCCTGCTCGCCTTCGTTCCCTACTTCTCTGCGCGCGTGCCCTTGCCTCCCTGCTTGGCTTATTATGGTGGCGAGTTCGGCGCATGGCTTGCGTATCGGTGCAATGCGAAACAAAACAATCCCCATCCCCACTGGGCCACATGTCAACCCCACCGTTCCACTCCCCCAGTTGGGGATAGGCCGCGCGAAACCCGAAGGCAACATCATTTATCCCCATCTGGGGGGGGTGCATCGGCCTGTGGTGCCAAGGCCACCCCAGTGGGGACAGGGATCGGTGAAACGATGGTCAGCAGCCTCGGAAGCAGGGCGGGGAGGACATGGGGCCCCCTCCCAAGGGAGCTGGTGGGCGGAGGCCCCCCACGCCAGAGTCGGGTTCCACTCGCCACGCCCCCTGGCCGCGGGGAGGGCGTAGCCGCGAGCTGGGCGCAAGGTGGTCCGGCCGCGGTGAGCACGCATAGGGGCCCGCGTTGGCCGGCCCAGCCGAGCGGGCGACCCGACGGCGGGCCGCCTTATGTTTGCGGAAGGAAGGAAGGGAGGAAGGAAGGGAGAGGGGCAGGCGGGAGAGGAGGACATCATGATCACGAGCATGACCAGGAAGGGGAGGAGGAGCAAAAGCGTGAGCAGGATGAGGAGCGGGATGGGGGAAGCCATAGTCTGTGAGCATAGCGATGAATACTGAGTGGAGAACTACGCTCCCAGATGCCCCACGTGGACTCCATCAGCACGCCAAGCCATCGTCTGACATTCACGAGTCGGAAGCGACTCGCCTTCTCGAGAATGAGCAATGACCAAACCTGCGCTTAGGTGAGGTGGCAGCGCCACCGCATGAAATCTCTAAAGGTCACCCGCTGGAGGCGCAGTCAACTGAAAACCGTAGCCAGGGGAATGAATCCATACACCGACATGGTTTTGCCAAGGTGAACTGGGCCTCCCCAAATGAACCAACCTGTTTGAGAAAGGGCGCGTATAGCATCAGTGCTCGCGCGCGCGCGCCACGGACGCTGGTTGGCGTAGGCGCGCCCCAATCGCGGTGGCATTGCGCCAGGGTTGCTGGGGGCCGTTGATTTTCTTGATCATGGCCTCCCCACGTGTGTCGCTTCTGGTTATGGCGGAACTGCCTGACGCGGTGGAACTCGTTGTGACCATGTCGGTGGATGAAAAGATTCCGTTCACGTAGTCGTCGGTCTTTTCCGAAGTTGTTATAGCGTATCTTTCCACGTGCAGCAGCCAAGACATTGTTCAACGTGCTCGAAACTGGAACTCGCCGAAGTCGAATAATTTCGGTTGCGTTGCGTTGGCCGTGTTGCCAGGTAGTGGCACCGTAATCAGTTGGAATGCCACAGGAAGGGCCATGTCTAGAATTTAAGGTCCTGAGGCTGACGGAGAAACTGTCTATTGTTTCATATCATGCTGGCCCGTCGATATCGTGATGCCCCGAAGGATTGCAATTATAGTCCGATGTGTCGGCTTAAAAACCTTGCGGTACGAATTTCGTGTCTTCTTCCTACTCCTTTTCTATCTTATTGGCTTTGAGAAAGGAGGGCATCGGAGAAGATATCGAAGCCTCGGGGGGGGCTCATGTGGAGGAGGAGGAGGAGGAGGAGGAGGTTACCAAAACGCCTCGTGGATTGTGAGACGCTGGGCGCAGATTTTGTTCGCGCAGACCTCACAGTGCCCCTATGGAAATGATCAAGGATGCCTGCTGGCCCACGTCGCATTCGTCCTCGTCCTCCTCCTCCTCCTCCTCTCCCTCCTCCCTTTTTCCTGTCCCAAGATCGTGAAACCCCCAAAGCGGCTTGAGAGGGCCTCGAGAAGGCCCCGATACCCGCCCAGCCGTTCCCGAGATGGTCCAACCGAGCCTTTTCGGGAGAGCTCCGTGGCGCCATCGCGCCCCAAGCGGCCCCGAACCCCTCGACGGGCCCAGTGCGGGATCCCGGGCCAGTCTGGTTCAGGCGAGCTGCCCTGCGGAAGGCCCTCGCGGGTGCGCGCTCGCCGGGGCGCGCGCCGGCAGAATGCCAGAAGCGGCCGCGGCGGGTGCCGCCAGGGAGTGCGGCAACTGCCTTTCGCGCGCCAGACGGCACGCCGACGCCGACATGAGTGGCGCGCGGGATCGGGAATCATGCGCGCCCACGGAGCCTCGTCGTGGCGCCCTCGGAGCTCGTCCTTGAAGGTCTTCGCGGCGGAGGCCCTGACGGCGGCCTTGGCTGGCCTCGGCTCGCCTCGCCTCGCGCCCCGACGTTTTTCCGCCATTCGCTCGCCGGGCACTGGGACTTGGCCACCCGGGTCGCCGCGTCGCTCATGGAGGCGGCGCGCGGGCCCGCTTGCTGGGGCAAACGGTTGCGAAAGCGCTACGGCGCAGGAGGCGGCGGCACTTGCGTACGCGACTCCCTTTGGGCCGGGAGGCCTTGCGTGCTCCGCCTGCCGGCCTTGTAGCCAAAAGCTTGGAGGCGTGGAGCTGCACGCGGTGGAGGACGACGGCGTGGCGGGCGACCCCGCCGGCGCGGGAACGGGTTTCGGGGACGACGGCGGCATTTTGGAGGCCCTATTGGCGGCGCTGGGTGGCGCGTGACGTTGAAGCACTTGGGCCCTTTTTCCAAGCAGCATTTGGATGAGCTGATGATGGTCATCGTGGCAATCTGGCAGCGCCCCACGCCAGTTGGTGGAGTAGACGTCCCGCTCCCACCTCCCAGGGTTGGTGGCGCGGCGGAACCTGGCGACCGATAGCGCGCGCCAGATCGTGGAGCCGCTGAGCAGGCGGACGCAAGCGAGCGACCTCTGGGGCTTTGCAGCGGTTGGCAGAATCGGCGACACGAGTCGTCCGCCGGCAGGCCCTTTTGGATGACACTGGGATTTCCGTTGTGTTGCGGATGCGGCCCGCGCCGCCGGTGGCCATCTGGCAGGGTTGGCGCCGCCGCCCCGGGCGGTCCTCACAGTGCCGATCGCTGCTCGCGGGGGCCCGCGGTCGGCTGGAGCCGTTGGTGGAGTGGGTGCCGCTTGCGGCCACGAAGCTTGGGGCCGCCCCGGAGTTCCGACGATCTGCGGTTTCCGGCTGGCGCTGTTGTTTCTCGATGTCGGCCGTCGGGGGCAGTCTTCGGGACAGGGCCGCGGATCGAAAAATCAGGTCGGCGGATGTGCAGAGTCGAAGGTTTGGTATCGCTCGGACGTATGAACTTATCTAGGCGAGGGGCATCGTGGATCATCTTGCGAGAAGAAGCGCACGAAGCCGAGAAATGCACAGGGAATGGACGTCCGAGCGATGGCAAGAATGAGGTTGAGAGCGATCGGGTGGAGCTGGCGGTGGGATGTGCGGGCGCGAGCGCAGTCGGCGAGCTGGCAGCGACCTGTGACAGCCGATCAGTTTGCTGGCCAGCTCGTCGACAAGCAGGGTTGCGGCGCCGCCTCGGCTTGTTCCTCCTCCTTGTCGGCCCCGCTGGACGTCGCAGGGCTGCGCTGGCGCTCTTTGTTGGCACCAAAGCCTCGGCATCTCTCGGACTTGTGCAATTTTTTGGGCGAGGATCATCGGGGAACATCTTGACCGATGGAGGACCATGGAGGTCATCCTGGGCGTCTTGGCGTCTTGGACCGATCGTTCGGCGGCTCGGGGCCCTGTTGGACCGTCTTGGGAGCCTCTTGGAGCCCTCTTGGCCCGTCTTGGGGCCCTCGCGGGCCCGAAAAAGTCACGCGACAGGACGCGAGAAACCCCAGGGGGCGCGCGACAAACCACGGACGAATTGAGAGAGCCAGGGATCAGGGCTGGAAGGGGGCAATAAGCAAGAGGACGATGAGGAGGGGGATGGAGGAGGATGGGAAATAGAAAGATGATAATGGGAAG